TTTTTATTTATTTCTCATTGTTGCTGTTTTTCTCAGTGGTATGTAAATAAAAGATGTGTTTTCATCACATTTTAGAGTCAATGAATTATTTGACTTTTAAAATAGTTATTATTTAACAATATTTTAACCAATTTATTTGCTCACCAATCCTTCTTGTATCGTATGTCTTCTGAGTTCAACTCCCTTCTTCCTGAAATATAACCTTGAATATACCTCCTTCAGTGATGGTGTTGAAATAGTGAATTCTTACTTACTATTGGTCTGAAAATTTCTTAACTTTACTTCTCGACAATGATGGTGTTGGAATTGTGGGGTAGCAAATTACCTTAAAACCCCAAAGATACTACTCCAGTTGTCTTCTGGCATCTGTTGTGTGCCACCACACCTGGCTTTTTTTTTTTTTTTTTTTTTTTTTGTACAGACAGGGTCTCACTGTGTTTCCCAGACTGGCCTCAAACTCCTGGCCTTAAGTTATCCTGCCCTGACCTCCCAGTGTGCTGGGATTATAGGTATGAGCTACCATGCCTGCCCATAATAAAAGCTTTTTAATGAAAATAACAGAATGAGAAATATATACATTAAGTATAACTGATAAAATTTTTATTCAAAAAATATAATGTTTATCTTAGCCACATGTAACTTTCAAAACCAGTTCACTTATTCTGTGAAAAAAAGGCACACGGGGAAATACAGATAGTATAGTAGTCCCTCCATACCCACAGTAGATAGCATCTAATACAATATAATTGCTGTGCAAATAGTTGTACATTGCTTTTTGTTTGTTTGTTTGTTTGTTTGTTTGTTTTTTGAGACAGGGTTTTGCTCTGTTGCCCAGGCTGGAGTGCAGTGGCATGATCTCAGCTCACTACAACCTCTGCCTCCTGGGTTCAAGTGATCCTCCTGCCTCAGGCTCCCAAGTAGCTGGGATTACAGGCACTCACCACCACGCCCAGCTAATTTTTGTATCTTTAGTAGAGATGAGGTTTCACCGTATTGGTCAGGCTGGTCTCAAACTCCTGACCTCAGGTGATCTTCCCGCCTTGGCCTCCCAAAGTGCTGGGATTACAAGCATGAGCCACCATGCCCAGGCTGCATTTTAAAATTTATATAACTTTTGCCGCGTTGTTATATTTTATTATTTGTAGTTTTTTCTTTTCAGATATTGTTCCATTTGTAGTTGGTTGAATCTGTGGATGCAGAAGCCATGGATATGGAGAGCCAACTATAGATTGTAATCACAGAAAAACCTGTAGCTTTTTAATTAAGTAGAAATAAAGTGAACATGAAAGCATTGCTATGTGCTTGTTAAGCTGGAAAAAAATAAAGTTTATTCTGTACTTACTAGTGGATCTATCTTCCTGAAGAGCAGACTAGCAAAATGGGAACTATTTATAAAATTGTTCATTCATTTCACCTAGTCTTAGGGGATGCATATATAATGTTAGTGAATGCCGCTGCAGAATATAAATTACTCCATCCAAACTTACATGACCTCTTCAGCCCCTTAATGATTTTGTAACTAATAGCAACTAAAAGCACTTACTGTTTACCAGGTAGCGTATCCATTCATTTAGTCCTCCCATCAACTCTGCTACAGGGATAGGTTCTATTACTGCACCTTACAGTCCAAAGTTAAGTAACTTCCCCAAATCACACATTAACACTGAGTGCAGTCAAGATTTGAGCCCAGGCAGTCTTAACTTCAAATTCCCTACTTTATATCATTGCACCAAACTGCCTCTCAGAACTAAAGCCACTTATCACATAGTTAACTTTCCTTGGTTAGGGTCATTTCATTACCTCTACATGGCTACTACTAGGGTGATAACTGCATTTCAGTACAGATTCTACATGGTTTTGAATATAATGCTCATGGGTTTGAGCAGTGAAACAGATCTTCTGATATATTACCAATGACATTGTAAATAAGTACAGTCCTTTTTGGAAAGCATTTTGGCAGCAGATTGAAAGTGCTGTAAAATCCTCATCTTTTTTGACCCAGTTAGTACCACTTCTGGGAATCATCTTAAAAAATAGTCCAGTGTGGAAAAAGACTTATGCACTAAAGTAATCACCACAGCCATGCTTGTGATAGTAGAGTGACAGGAAACAACCCTCAATGTTCAACAATAAGGGAATGAATGACCAAATAACATGGTATATTTACTTAGGCCAATAAAAATGAAGTGTGATGTAACATGAGGAAAACATAGTCATCCAGAGTTGAAGCAGCACCCAAAGCAGTATGAATACTAAAATTACAGCTTTTACAAATATGAAAAAAGATGAAATATAAAAATGATCAGATTGGTGCGATTGTAGATAATTTTATTTCCATAATTACTTACTGGTTTTGAGCCTTAGTCTCATAACCCTCAGTAGATGATACGCTGCTTGATGACAGAGGCAGAAAACTGGAATTGCCCAAAGAGCATCGCTAGAGGCCACAAGGTCTGGGCCCTTTGCAAGCGCCTCCTGTACAAGTGTGCGAACCTCAGGCAAGCCACTCTGTGCTCCTGTGCACTCAGTTGACCCATGATGAGCAGTGCAGTTTGGGAAGCATGAGTGGGATCTTTGGAGTCAGAGAGACCTCGCTGTGTGTCCAGCTCTTCCCAGGAAAGCTGCTGAAACTTGGTAGAGCTCAACCTTCTCATCCATACAAATAAGGCAAATGAGCTTGGGGCCTGGCACCTTTCATCAGTGCTCTAAAAATGTTTGTTCCGTTTGGTGGTAGCTGTTAGAAAGCGTTCCTCACTTTTCTTTGGCCTTTGGCCTTTAACAACAGTAACAAATGTAAAGTCGTTCAGCGAACTTCCTTTGCTGAAATATTTTGAGCATCAGCTTTTAAAAATTGTACATATTCTTCTGTTTTCTGGTGTACCTTGTCCTCCATGATTTAGAGTTAAGGAGGAAGATAAAAATTTTGTCATTCAACGTGGCTGGCTAAATTTTCTGTTTTGTTTTAATCACATTTTTTTTTTTCTGATTATAAAAATGTAGTAAAAGCTCATTGCTGAACTTTTGGAAAATAGAGGAAGACGAAAGAAGAAAATTGGACAATAATCTTCCCACTCAGAAATAAGTGTTATATGCATTTCATTTTATTTTCTTCCATGCTTTTCTGAATATCTGATTTTTTCTTATTTTTGAAAGGAAAAATATAGGAAAGCTTTTCCTGGAACATTAGCTATATTTGGAGCAAGTTTAACATGATGCTTTGTGTTCATTTTGAGATAGTTTATCTTTAACAAATAGTTTTTAGATGGGGATAAAGACCGAGTAGCAATAGGGAACCAGATGGAGGGTAGAGATAGGAATATCTCTGTCTTAGACAATTAGGAGGAACAAATTTTCTGTAATTCTGATACCTATCAAAGAAGGAACTTATGTAAAATGTAATTACCAAAATCATGGATCCTAGACTTCTTCAGGACAATTGCAATTTTAAATACTTTGTATTGTTTTCATTGTAAGTGCCCTGCATCTTTTCAAACCATGACTTGTGAATTTTTGTTTGGTAAAATGTAATCATCATACATAAACTTGGAATGAAGAAGCAGCTTGCAAAATACAACTTCTTGGCTCTTGGCCTTACCATTTTTAGAACATGCAGTTTTCAAAAATTATCAGTTCCTGTAATGTCCTCTGGAAAAAGTCATCCACTACAAAGATAGAACCAACAGAGCAACAAATACCTGGAAAGACTTAGCCTAAGTGACTGTAGCCATATGGGGCTGGGCATTGATGGAGCTTCACTCCCACTCGTGCTGTCCTTGTGCTTAAATCAGGAGAGGGCTGGGTGCCATGGCTCACGCCTATAATCCCAGCACTTCGGGAGGCCGAGGCGGCGGGCGGATCACTTGAGATTAGGAGTTCGTGACCAACCTGGCCAACATGATGAAACCCCATCTCTACTAAAAATACAAAACAATTAGCCAGGCATGGGGGCAGACACCTGTAATCCCAGCTATTTGGGAGGCTGAGGCAGGAGAATCGCTTGAACCAGGGAGGTGGAGGTTGCAGTGAGCCAAGATCGCACCACTGCACTCCAGCCTAGGCGACAGAGTGAGACTCTGTCCCAAGGGGAAAAAAATAGAGAGAATGGACTTGCTAGTGGATTTAACACACTGTTCCCTTCGTTTTCTGGGCTTTGTTGCTCAAGGGAGGGCTTTAAAAGTTGGGGAAAGGGTCTTCCTCCATTTCTTTTCTTCAGAGCAGCAATGGAATTATTAAAAGTGGCAGAGCGTGTCCCATATAGATAATTTTCAGTGTGGCAGATCTGTTACTGCCACAACATTGAGGAGAACATGAGAAATGTTTTGGGTCAATGTGTTGTGCTCACTCTCCTTTGAAGACACCATTGTGGCTTGTGCCCCTTTGACTTCTGAGCTCTGCCGCCACAGGCAAAAGACTCCTACTTGTCTGGAAGTAGGTTCCCACACTCCTGCTTAGTGTCTGCACATCAGGGAAGTCATTGTCCTTTTGAGTCATTTCTTCTGACAAGACTGAGCATAAACCTTTACTCATGCTTGTTAGTTAACCTTTCTAACCAGTTCCTCTTTGAGCAAGGTCACTTATTTACAAGGGGAGAAAACCAAACCTAGAGCACAGTTTGAGTATCTAGCTTAGAGTTGCATTGACATCCACAGCTTTAGACAGTACTTCCATACAAAGGGGAAGATGATAATTCGCCAGTGTCTTGTGAGAACAGAATAACTATAGCCTTGAAACCTTCTATTTTGAATAACTGTGGCCCATCTAAAACCAGGCTTGCTTGGCACCCTGTGAAAAGACAGACGGGCGTGATCTGAGACTTGAGTATTTTGAACAGCTGGGGAAACTAGTCCCCAAGCAGTAAAAGGGAGGAAACCACATAGAAAGTTAGCTGAACTTAACATTCTGGTCTTATGAGAGAAGATCGTCAGTGTTACTTAATTCATTTTACTTTGTAGGATTCTTCTGTAATTGATTACTGATCAAAGTGATTTAATTTTTTTCAGTATTGCCTGTCAGGGCACCCAACCTTACCATGCAATGTGCTCAAATTCAAATCAACCACCATTATGTTGGATTGTGGACTGGACATGACGTCTACCCTCAATTTCCTTCCTTTGCCACTTGTTCAAAGGTATGTGCTGGTGCAGCCAAAGAAAAAATGAGCTTTAAGTTTGCTGAAAAATGATACCATTAGTATGAATGTTACTAGTACCTAGTGTATTGTCGTAAGTTTGCTTTGTTCCCTTAAAAATGTTCTTTATCAAAATAATTTCCTTTGGCTGAGTTGATGGAAAGTGTTCTATTGATTTATTGATTGGCTTCTTTATTATAACTTCTTTTGAGCTTCTGTAAAATGTTCCGGCATCTGCTCAGTACAACTGAAGTCATGTATATTTCATCTTTCATCACATAAGAGCTGGTAAATGGTCAACTGATGAGCCCAAGAATTGAATTTTAGAATTATTTAACAGCCTTTGCAGAGACTTAACAGCATGGAATCTGACATTTCTTTTCGATAGGCTTCTGTGCATTATTTTCATACCAAGTCAACCTTAGATTTAGAACCACATATGTAGCCCAAGTTCATATCTTAAATGAGACAGATTGCCTCAGGCCTACAATAGCACTGTTTATGCTTAACTGAGACTTTGCCTTAGGAAATTGGTTTCCCAGCATACTACTATTTAGAAACAGTTTATAAAAGATGTGACTACCTTGTAGAAGCAAATATACTTACAGTAGCAAAAAGTGACAGCACATACAAGATAGGATATGGAAAAGCTATCTAAAGCATATTTAAGAGCTCAAAAGCATAGCAAGCTGGGTAAGCTTTCTAGTTTATCTCAGTCATTCCTGAAGATATCACTGAGTACAATGATTATTCACAGCGATAACCTGATGAACCATCTAAAATTTTCATCAACTATTGATTTTTCTGAGATAAGGGGTACAGTAAGGTGGTGTGAGGATAAGGTCAGAGATAATTCCAGATTACATTTTATGCAAAGCTGATGGAATTCAGTTATAATTACACCCAGCATTTAGAAATACATGTGCCACCCACAGGCCAGGCGCAGTGGCTTAGGCTTGTAATCCCAGCACCTTGGGAGGCTGAGGCAGGTGGATCACCTGAGATCAGGAGTTTGAGGCCAGTCTGGCCCACACGGTGAAACCCTATCTCTACTAAAAATACAGGAAAAAAAAATTAGCTGGACATGGTGGTGGCTGCCTGTAATCCCAGCTACTTGGGAAGCTGAGGCAGGAGAATCACTTGAACCTGGGAGGTGGAGGTTGCAGTGAGCCGAGATCGTGCCACTGCACTCTGACCTGGGCAACAGATACTCCATCTCAAAAACAAGAAAAAGAAAAAAAGAAGTACATGTACCACCCACAGATATTGCCTAAAAACTGGGTTGGGAGGAGCTTAATTACATGACAATTGGTTATTTCCTAATAAAATAGCCTGATATTATTGTCTTTTTCCCCCAAAGAGCAAAATGTTTGTTTTTTGATGTTTATTAAAAATCTGCACTGTTCTGGACCAGAGGATTTAGAGATGAACAGAACAACCTACTTTCTCTCATGAAACTTACAGTCCATCAGGGAGAAAGATATCACACAGATGAATATTTAATTACACCTGTGATTAGAAAACAAGTATATATATTTAGGATAATTACTTAAAAAATGAAGTCTAAGATACCATGAGAGATTCCAAAAGGGAGCCCAACCTGCTCTGTGGGGTCATGAATTTCCTGGGTGATGAGAACTGGATGAGATCTCTCTTCCGCTTCCCATTCTTTCACTCTCAGAGGGAAGTTCTACTAGCAGAATGGTTAGCTGTCCATACGGTTTCTTACAAAAGGTGTCTCCTTTTGCTCAGACCAGGGCACAGTTGCCTAAAGTGGTATTCCTGACCCTGTCTGTCCGCTCAGTTGCTTTATTTGTCTTCGTAGCATTTATTATATTATGAGTACATATTTATTGATTGTCTTTCTTCTCCACTACATGTAAGTTTCATAAAGGCAGGGAATTTGATTCTCCATTGTATCCCCACTGCCTAGAACTATTCTTGGCATGTGGTAGCTACTCAGTAAGTATTTGTTGTATGAATGAGTTGCTTTATCTTCTCTGGATTCCATCCTAATCACTTTTTCAGAGTCCTTTTACTATTACAATTAACTAATTAATTAAATTATTATTTTATATCTGCTTGGACTTTTCCATGTTGATTGTCATTTAATTATAATCATTCACATTTAACTTAAAATTTAAAAAACAATTTTAATTTCTCTCAACTCGTTTTTCCCCTTCAGCATTTCTAAACCCTGTCCAGGCTTCACTCTGCCCACACCACTCCACTAGAACCTCTCAGGCCCCACATGACTTCATGTCATTGGACGTGATGGGCATTTGTCAGTCCTCATCTTATTTGACCATTCAGTAGCAGTGACCTCCATGATAATGCATTCCTGGTTTTCCTCTTACCTCTGTGACCCTTCTTTCTCTGTATACTTTGGAGATGTGTTTTCCTGTAATTGGCCATCATGTATTGACATTCTTCAGTATTCATTGCTTGGCCATCATATTCTCCATCAAGGGCATTTAATAAATGCTTAGCACTATTCATAATAGCAAAGACATGGAAGCAACTTAACTGTCTCTCGGCAGTGGAGTGGATAAAGAAAATGTGGTACATATACACCACGGAATACTACACAGCCATAAAAAAAGAATGAAATCATGCCCTTTGCAGTGACATAGATGCAACTGAAGGCCATTATTCTTGGTGAATTAACACAAGAGTAGAAACCAAATACTGGGTTGTTGGTGCCAAGATGGTGGAATAGGAACAGCTCTAGCCTCCAGCTCCCAGCATGAGTGACACAGAAGATGGGTGATTTCTGCATTTCCAACTGAGGTACCGGGTTCATCTCACTGGGGCGTGTTGGACAGTAGGTGCAGGACAGTGGGTGCAGCCCAAAGAGTGAGAGCCAAAGCAGTGCAAGGCATTGCCTCACCCGGGAAGCACGAGGGGGAAGGGAATTCCTTTTCCTAGCCAAGGGAAACCGTGACACACAACACCTGGAAAATCAGGACACTCCCACCCTAATACTGTGCTTTACCAAAGGTCTTAGCAAACGGCACACTAGGAGATTATCTCCCGTGCCTGGTTCGAGGGGTCCCACACCCACAGAGCCTCCCTCATTGCTAGCACAGCAGTCTGAGATCTAACTGCAGGGTGGCAGCGAGACGGGGGGAGGGGCGCCCGCCATTGCTGAGGCTTCAGTAGGTAAACAAAGAGGCCAGGAAGCTTGAACTGGGTGGAGCCCACCACAGCTCAAGGAGGCCTGCCTGCCTCTGTAGACTCCACCTCTGGGGACAAGGCATAGCTAAACAAAAAGCAGCAGAAATGTCTACGGATATAAATGTCCCTGTCTGACAGCTTTGAAGAGAGTAGTGATTCTCCCAGCACGGAGGTTGAGATCTGAGAACGCACAGACTGCCTGCTCAAGTGGGTCCCTGACCCCAGAGTAGCCTAACTGGAGAGCCTAACTGGGAGTAACCTAACTGGAGTGGACCTCAAGCAAACTCCAACAGACCTGCAGCTGAGGGTCCTGACTGTTAGAAGGAAAACTAACAAACGGAAAGGACATCCACACCAAAACCCCATCTGTACGTCACCATAATCAAAGACCAAAGGTAGATAAAACCACAAAGATGGGGAAAAAGCAGTGCAGAAAAGCTCAAAATTCAAAAAATCAGAGCGCCTCTCCCCCTCCGAAGGAACACAGATCCTCGCCAGCAATAGAACAAAGCTGGACGGAGAATGACTTTGACGAGTTGAGAGAAGAAGGCTTCAGTCGATCAAACTTCTCAGAGCTACATGAAGAACTATGAACCCAGCGCAAAGAAACTAAAAACCTTGAAAAAAGATTTGACAAATGGATAACTAGAATAACCAATGCAGAGAAGTCCATAAATGACCTGATAGAGATGAAAACCATGACACGAGAACTACATGACAAATGCGCAAGCTTCAGTAACCGACTTGATCAACTGGAAGAAAGAGTATCAGAGATCGAAGATCAAATGAATGAAATGAAGCAAGAAGAGAAGTTTAGAGGAAAAAAGAGTAAAAAGAAACGAACAAAGCCTCCAAGAAATATGGGATTATGTGAAAAGACCAAATCTACGTCTGATTCGTGTACCTGAAAGTGACAGGGAGAATGGAACCAAGTTGGAAAACACTCTGTAGGATATTATCCAGGAGAACTTCCCCAACCTAGCAAGGCAGGGCAACATTCAAATTCAGGAAAGACAGAGAATGCCACAAAGATACTCCTCGAGAAGAGCAACTTCAAGACACATAATTGTCAGATTCACCAAAGTTGAAATGAAGGAAAAAATGTTAAGAGAGAGAAAGGTCGCATTACCCACAAAGGGAAGCCCATCAGACTAACAGCAGGTCTCTTGGCAGAAACTCTACAAGCCAGAAGAGAGTGGGGGCCAATATTCAACATTCTTAAAGAAAAGAACTTTCAACCCAGAATTTCATATCCAGCCAAACTAAGTTTCATCAGTGAAGGAGAAATAAAATCCTTTACAGACAAGCAAATGCTTAGAGAGTTTGTCACCACCAGGCCTGCCCTACAAGAGCTCCTGAAGGAAGCACTAAACGTGGAAAGGAACAACCGGTACCAGCCATTGCAAAAACATGCCAAAATGTAAAGACCATCGATGCTAGGAAGAAACTGCATCAACTAACAAGCAAAATAACCAGCTAACATCATCATGACAGGATCAAGTTCACACATAACAATATTAACCTTAAATGTAAATGGGCTAAATGGTCCAATTAAAACACACAGACTGGTAAATTCGATAAAGAGTCAAGAACCATCAGTTTGCTATATTCAGGAGACCCATCTCACGTGCAAAGACACACATAGGCTCAAAATAAAGGGATGGAGGAAGATCTACCAAGCAAATGGAGAACAAAAAAAAGGCAGGGGTTGCAATCCTAGTCTCTGATAAAACAGACTTTAAACCAACAAAGATCAAAAGAGACAAAGAAGGCCATTACATAATGGTAAAGGGATCAATTCAACAAGAAGAGCTAACTATCCT